GACACTTGCCCGAATGCCGTTTGCCCGAAGGCCGATTTCCCGTACTGACACTTGCCCGAATGCGACAAATGCCCGAATGGACACTTGCCCGAATGCGACAAACACCCGAATGGACACTTGCCCGAATGCGACAAATGCCCGAATGGATACTTGCCCGAAGTAACGTCTAAATGGGAACTTAGCTACATTAAATTCTCGCATAAGTGATGTGTGAGGGTACAGGTGTTTTGATGGTGGTTACCACCAGTTGTGAGGGTGGGGATTTTAAGAGGGCGTCACGAATCCAACAAAACACGTTCAAGTTCAACTATAATTGTTCTTTATTCAAATGTATATAATCAGGTCTTTCTAACTAGTCTAATCTATACTCTCTACTGTTTACTTCTACTACTAACTGTTCACTATACTACTAACTACACACTCCCATGATCAATCCTAACACTAACTGTTCTCTAGCTCTACATATTGCGATCGTCTCCGACCGCTTCCTAACACCTTCTCTACTCTTCGCTAGCTACCTATCAACTGCCCACGCTAACTGATCATGATCTCCGGCCTAACAGTGGCCCACGCTTCACTGGTCAGCTGACCGTCCCACGTGACCGGTCAGCCCTGTGCACCCATTGGCCTCTCTAACCAACCAACTAGGCCTATAGTCTATTTCTGCTAACCTATATCTGCTAAACATGTCTGACGTAATCTTGCGTCATCACATGATGTTTGGGGGTGAAGTGGGTATGCGTAAATTAAAAAAAAAAACACACACGTGATAAAGAAAAACAATAGCATTCAGGTAACAATTACTAAGGCAGGTTTCTGTTCTTGTTATATCGTTAAAACCAACATTTGACATTATAATATATTTTATTTAGGTTTAATAGCAATTGCCATTATGTTATATGTGTTTGTAGAACAAATACACACTGTTGTTCTCACAAAGGAAGAAGGGCTTATTGTAAAAGTTTACATTACCAAGAAACTGATCTAGTATTATTAAATATTTACACTGTTTACTGCATCATACACATCAGTATGATCTGCTGCTATTTAAATTCAGACCCTCCCCCCCCCCACCAAGATGGCCGTGTTCCTAACGCCTCCTTTTGGACTAGTTCTACTATACATTATATGCAACTTATATTTATAAAATAACTAGGCATACTGCCTAGCTTCGCTTAGGTTTTCAAAAACATTTGATAATTTGAATACTAATTATTTGGTGATGGATGAGGTGTGGAGAGCTTAAATTTAAACAGTAATTTATTATTTTAGAGAAGATGTTGTATGTTGTTTAACATTCGCTTTCAGAGCAAAAATTTGAAAGTACGCAATTTATAACTAAAATAGAATTAGAAATACAGAGGTTCCATTAACAGTATATCTCAAAATTTATATTACATTGACTTTTACAATTAATTTTTTATTTAATTTTTATACGTAAATTAATTAAAAACTTATTTTTAAAAAAAAAAAATGCTATACTTTGTCGTTTTCTGTTTAAAATAGTATACAATTATTTGAAAAATAATTATTAAAAAGGTTACCTTCCTTGAAAATAGACCAAATGACGTATTTTTTTGTTTACTTTTTTTAAAAACAGTTACTATGCTTATATAAGAAAATATGATATGAACATATTTAACGACTACAATGGCTTTTTCCGACGGGAATAACGTTTTTTTGTTACCCTCCAGGGTCGGTCTACGACCTCAAATAATATTAAGGGGATCGTTCGTCAATTTATTTATATATATATATCTCATATAAGGAGAATTTCACTCGCGGTCATCTTTTAGCCCTGCTCGAGGGCTTTGAGTCTGACCAACAGATTTTCCATACGGCCTAGTCATCCATAGAAGTGTATGCAAAACATTAGCATGATGTACAGAGGTTGAGTAACCTAAAACGTGTGTTGAAAATTCCCTGTTTTTCCAATAAAATACAAAGATTATATAGGGAAATACAACTGGTCAGTTTTGACCGCTTTACGAAGTTTTCCCAGATATGCCGAGTTTTTTGTGACACCCCCAGGTGTTCTTCTACCACCTCACAAAATATCAAGGGGGGTCGTCGGAGGAAATTTTTTTTCGTAATATAGCCCATATAAGGCGCCGGTCAGTCGAGGTCAGTTTTGACCCCCTGTCCGTATGCTTTTCGGCAAACCGTCACCGGCCTTCGTGTTCTATCGCCCGAAGGCACCATCGTGCTAAATTTGACGCGCCTGCGGCGCCGGGAAGTGCCCTATCGGGCACTTGACCACTTTGCTTTATATATATAGATTGATATGATATGCTAGCATACCAAAAAGAGGTTCACAAAACAGCATTAGATAAACCAGTAACTATTAAAGACAACATATATATACATTATATATATATATATATATATATATATATATATATATATATATATATATATATATATATATATATATATATAAACCCCCGGCTACTTGTTTAGAGTGATATTGTTTAATTACTTAGTTTTTAAATGTATATTTTAACAGGTTAAGTCAACTAGTAATAATTAATTTTTTTTTCAAACAGATTATCTTTCCAAAAGAAATAGAACCCCTGAAATTGAAAGTCGCCATTAAATAAACCCGCCCCTGTTAACGTATCTACACATAAACAAAGATAACAACTGTACCATCAACGCCCCTTTTTGATCGGGAACTTCCCATTTTTAAAAATAAAATCGGAGGTTATCGCTATTGATAACAATAACAAAAACGCTGGGATAGATCACGTAAGCAGTAAAATTATATCTGTAAAAAAAACAATACTTTTGTATTGTTATTACTAGAAACTGGCATCGTTTGACAGAAAAGCGCAAAGTGACATTATGCCACCTTGTCTAAATAAAAATCTAAAAATCAGCTATATCTATTATAACAAATGTGTCATATGCCATGAAGCTACAATTTGACAAGTAACATGTTTTCATATATGTGTAGAGTTGGACAAATGCTAGTCATTAAATTAAGTTAATGTCTGCATGTTCTGATATATACTATTTGATAATTGCGATTTTGTTTTCAAGCCACAAAGCTAGACCAATACGTTTCAAATGGCATCAGGCCTCGAACAACTGATGGACCCTATGGAAAGTAAATTTCAAAGGGCCAGATGTTGCCCATCTATTAGGGCCCTCTCTTACACAAATGATGGACCCAAGGGAAATACGTTTTGAGTCACTAGATAGCCTCTAATTATTTTCTATGGAAGTTTCACGATTAGAAACTAGTTGTCTTTGCATGTTGTTAAATATCAGAAGTCAGCAATTTTCCCACTCCATTACACGAGTATTATTTTGTGATTCTGAATAGTTGTATGACAAAATCCACTATCAGAACACACTGTGTGAATAAAGAAAAGTACAGTTTATCTGTTTTACTAACCCGGCTTGTAAATAAGTAATGTGGTCAACAGCATAGCCAGTCTGACTACACCAAGCTCGCCTACTTTGGTAAAAATAAATGAGACTCCTCTACCTGAGTTACCTTAATACAACAATGAGCAGTGCAGCACTGTATTTACTACAGTGCAGGGGCGGAACTACAGTGGGGGAGGGGGGCACGCCATTTAGGGGCCCAGAGCCGACCATATAACTTTTTTTATAGATAAAAAAAGTAAATTTTCTTTCATTTTTGACTTGATGGTTGTTTTGTAAAAAAAATAACCGTAGCTGCGGTTGCATTATCTCTATTCTATAAACACCACCCCACCCTCTTGTATATTATTTTTTCATTTGTTTTTAAGCCACTGTGAGAGCCGAGCCTTTCTCTTACAATTAAACTTATCAAAGATAAGCAAATGTTCAAACCACTTCCATGACTAATTTCCCTTTTTCAAAAAAAATTGTCAAATAGGGGTGATCATAATCTCCTTTTAATAAATTGGTACTAAACAAATTAAAAAGCAATTACTTCTCTTAATTATTATTTTTTTTATAAGTAATTACTAAAAAATGACATTGTATAAAAAGGAAATGTATTAAATCAATAATATTTTAAAAATTTATAATATAAATACAATAAAAAAAAACATTAAAAAAAAACATAACACGAGACACCATTACTTATACAAAACTTTCATGTTTTATATTATTTTGACCGTCTAGATGTTAAGAGGGCTTCTATCAGAAATTAATTAAAACTGATTTTCACAAAACACACTAATGCACTTACACACATGACAACATGTTGAAAATGTTTTAAATTGATGTTTTTTTCAAATCCCAAACAGGCCAGCAATGAGTATCCTATGTTCGTATTTTGTGATTTTATATATATATATATATAAGATATATATATATATATATATATATATATATATATATATATATATATATATATATATATATCTTATATATATATGCCTATTATTTATCATATATAGGCCTATTTATATATCATATATAGGCCTATATATATATATATATATATATATATATATATATATATATATATATATATATATATATATATATATATATATATATCACCAACATTGCATATACATGATACGTAAGCAGATGGAGAAGAGTTAAGCCATGTATTACATATTGATAACGTAGAAAAGCTGTACAAAGTTCGACCCGCGTGACACAGTACAGAAACTCTCAAGCTTTAGGTTGTTGGGTCGATTGTTTTGTAGTTGCTAGTTGCAAGTTGCAAATTTGGAAGGCGAGCTAGAGAACAGTCTTGCTACTTCAAATGACACTTGCGTACTTCTGTTTCTATGATATTGTCCCGTAAAAGATTATATTGCCATATAAATGGAGTATTTTTAACTTTACCTTTTATCCACTGTGCTTACGTGTTGTTAGTTGTTAAACGTGTGCTCTAACCCGCCGTACACCACTGAAACTAGCAACTATAAAACAATCCACCCAACAAGCTGAAGTTTGAGAGTCCCTCTACTAGTCACGCGGGTCGTACTTGGTACAACTTTTCTACTATATAAAACTGTTGACATCACAATAGATAGTCTGTGATAGAATTAAACCTCTCTGGAAACACTGAGAGCTCACAACACAATTGATCTTGAGAACGTAACGGGGTAATTCTCATTGTGAAATTTTATTTACTCACTTAATTTCAAATCAATTAATTGAAATGTAATTGTATTATCAGGTTTTAGCACGTCAGTATGTTTAATTTTAAGTTAACTCTTATTTTCACAGGTTGCAGAGAAAATCCTTTATATAATTTATCGTTGTTTTATCTTCAATTAAATCTGCTCTTATCTTATAAAACAGTTAACGCTGAATCCAGGCAATAGTATAGGGCAGGTGATTTAGGGGAGTAGCGCTTCCACAATGCTGCTCGATGTTGTTTTTTTTTATATCTTTCGCGTTGCAATTTTCAATTTTATCCTGTATCGATAGTTCACAATCGTTCTGTACAGATCTCGCACACGTTTTCTTAAATTTTCCTTTGTTTTATTTCAATACTGAAGTTTTTTCATGCCCAAATATTTTTATTTGCATCTTCAGTAGTCAGGTAAGCGTGTTTGATTTTTATTTATAACATTTTACTCAAAATGTTGTTTAGATCAATGTGTATTCGAATGCTTAGGAGAAATGTCATGACAAACAGCAAATATTTTTTTAGGATTTCTTGGAAACTACCTATTTTAGATGTGGATTGACGTACAATATATTAGTTTGATTATAAATGATCGAAATGGACAATAAAATGATATTTATGTATTTGTATATTTAGAAGTAAGTTGGCACTTTGTTTAAATATCATTACCAAATACTTATAGTATATTTTTGTTTTCTAGATGTCCTGTCATCACAAACTTATCTATATGGAAAACAGAATCAGCGTCTCCCCGAGGAGTTACCAAAAGATGGTGACTCAATTGATGAAATGAGCTGGTCCTACATCTTCACTACACTGAATCAGAAGATATGATAGATAATAATAAGCTGCTGTATGCTTCCAAAATATTGATTTAAGTTTCTAGGCTGCAAGAGTTTCAAAAAGACATGTGACCTATGATGAACCATTTTGCTGGAGAAAACTCAGCAGCTGATACATAGCTGACCATGGTGCCTCATCACTCCATAGAAAAAATTGGTTCCAAATGAATATGTACATTCATCAATACAGTTGCGTCTTTTTAAGTTATTTTCCCGTTTTTTAACTGTACCGTTGTTTTCGTTACCATTGCTTTACACGAATAAATCTCTTCTTGTGTGATGGAATCGGCATTGTAAATTGCATGACTCCTAAATTTTTGTGTAGAGGCAGATACAACAATAAACAGTTGATATTCGAGAAAAAGAATAAACACTTAAAACCATCCTAACTTTATTACTTACATCAACACAGAATTTCTAATTTATTTAGGCTTTTCCTTAAAGATTATGTCTAAAACAAACTGTCAACTTCTCAAGGGTCAATACCTAATTGATCTATCAACCCCAACCACTTACGCTACTCTCTATTTATTTTATAAAAAATGTATTAAAATCATATTTGCAATAAACATCTAGACACCTAGCTATCAATATTACAATATAAACAGCAATCGACCAATGATTGGACAAAGAAAACAATACAAGTATTTGGAAGCAGACACTGTTTACAAAATATCTATGTAGGCACAAAGTATTATTTCATCTTCAAATGTGGACGATATGAGTCATTTGTTCGGTACTATCAACAGTCTATTTCTGTGTTACGAAGGTCGTTGACAGAGCCTGTCGGTGTCAGACGTGATTAAAATAAATATGTTAATTAAAAGATATGGAGTTATTGACAAGAGGTATTGTCCAAGTCCAGGTATTTAAAAATGGTGCAATATACACGGCAATACACAGGTGTATTTGACTTGTGAGTTATGTAGTGAGACCGAAATTACCCTAGATGATACTTGACATGAGTTGATGCCCTGCTTTTATGAACATAATTCTAAGAGATTGTAGTATACAGTATTTAACATTACATTAAGTAAATCTCGGGGTCTGTTTGCTAGAAGCTAGAAGCAAATGTTTGTACTTTGTTTTTTAAAAGAACATATATTTTGTTGCGTAAAAGACAAATACTAACTGTTTTGAATTAAGCAATGAAAAAAATTTTCAAATCCGTAAATGATAATGAAGATAAAAAGTTATCATTATTCAGGCCAAGTGGTTCTGCTAAAGTCAGGTTTAGAACAACGTTAGGCCCCATGCACGACTGCTTGCTTTCTAACATCTTTTCAACATCAATGCGTCAATCATAATCCTTTCAAAGATTTTATTTAACGCATTAGAAGAGTGTCGGATTAGTCAGCTTTTGCAACAGATTATTACCAGCCTAGGCGTGTTTTAAAAGTATAATGTGCGTTTAATTCTAATTTGCACTTGCTTGTAATGCTGTTATAAACTTATGCAAGGCAAATTCGTATGCCTGTAGTTATGCACTTAAATTATACGTTAAGTAAAAATTAAGGCAGACAATTTTTAAATAAATTAGTCAACGATGTATTAAACGAAATTTATTTTTATACAGGTTAAAAATTGAGAAAAAAAATGTGCAATAGTGATACATCTCAAATCATAATGACAAATCATGCTATTATATTATATGTAAGTATTAACAGATGAACACTTCTTTTCACAAACATGCTGCCTAGGTAACTTTTAAAAAAAATAATCATATATTAGCAAATATTTACAACATTTTCAATTTAAATAATCTGAATTTAAACTTAGAGTCAGAAATATTTTCAAATTAAAACAAGAACCATGATTTTAGTGTGATATGCAAGCGTAAAAATTAAGTGGACGAAGTAAACAGTTTTAATATAATCTATACTTGCCTAAATATTATTATAATTATATAATAATTAAAAATTATTTTCTATTGTTTCAGCTTCTCGCTTAGCACACTAATATTATCCGTGGTTGTTTTGATTTATTCAATTAAAACAATTACACGTTTTAAAGTAAGTTTTTTTTACTCTTGCATGCATGATGAGTTTTTAATTTTTATTTCGTAAAGGCCTAATCTTGAGTGTGTGTTTACAAATACAGAGAAATGGTGTGAGTATAGTGCTTGGGCGTTACTTACAAACTATTTTGTTCTGTCGATTTGTCAGAATATTTTATAATGATACATAATATTATTATGCAGTTGGAATTCAGAATTCTCACAAATGTTACACTGAACGTGTTAAACAAATCTACTACGATTGAAAGAAATCTTAATTTTGAGGTGGGTATATACATACATTATATATATATATATATATATATATATATATATATATATATATATATATATATATATATAACGTGTTTATGAGTGTGTGTATTGCCGACAATTGTGATAACATTGCATTATACAGAATGCGGAGGCTTTGTATATAGTCTTTGTCGTTTTTAGATCAAAAATAAAATATCGGCAATGATATATCCTTGTCATTTGCATAACAAAAAAATAGATATTCAATAAATAGAATGACAAGAACTTCCCAGGCAAAATATGTAATACCAAACAGTCAAAAATGAAAGAAGAAATGCTAGGATGTCATTTTGAATTGCACTAAGTTTTCTTTCTAGCTCTAACCCTAAAACTAACGCTTGTCCAAACTAATGCTAGCCCTAACTCTAACCTAAACTCTAATATATATATATATATATATATATATATATATATATATATATATATATATATATATATATTGATTCAGCAGACCGCATAGAGTAATACATATTTAATAAAATACGCATAAAATAAAATATCCCCCTTGACTGGTAACCATGATATATGTTACATATATATCATCTATTTTAGAATTGATTATTCATACTTTTAGATAAACCAATCCGATCAGGTGCAAGCTCACGTTTATCTTCGGCCGTCCACCAGATTTTCTGGAACTGAGAATTCTATTGGTATTTGTGTTTACCACTTCATTACGCAATCGTCTTATGTAGGTTACATAATAATAAATCTCTAACAAGTGATTCACTGTATTACAACACAATTCGCAACACTTTGATAAACTATTCTTACGATGATTTATATTATAAAACAAACACTTCATAAATATTATTATATTAACTCCGCCTTTTAATACAAAGTTTGAATATTCAGAAAAATAATGCGTGAGAAATCCTTTTAATTTTTACTCCTAAGATCCAATATTCAGTCCTACTCAGCATTCAATTCTATATATAGACCAGAGTACATTGGGATTCGCTCAACACAACAGTGGTGTGGATATAACACAAGAAGGGATTAATATATTATTTTCTGGTTGGTTGTTCAATAAACTTTTCTGAAAAGTTCTCAGTATTTTAGATTAGAGTAAGATACATTGTAAAATTAACATTAGAAGTAAAGCAAAACTTAGATTATTCGGTTTATTACATTTTTCAATGTTAAAAAAAGTTCATTCATACAGCTGTATTGTTCCATTTAGGTTTGTACTTTATATACAGCAACGTAAACTTTAACCCTAACACAACCTGGTCTTCAACATATTTCACATACCAGGTAAAAATACTTACATAAATCAAAGACATTTTTTTTAGTTATCTGTACTGTGCAGTTATTTATTAGTTATAGCCTCATTCTCGTTACATAGCGACATGGTAACTCAAATCCAAAACGTCGTTTATTGAAAAACCTTACAAAGTAGGGTTTAAAGATTAAAACTGCATTATTGAATATGTTTATGTACAAAATAGGTATTTAAATGTTATATTTGTTTCTACCAGACGTGGTTTCAGTACGTCCGTAGACACTCTGCCAACAACCCAGTTTTATCTGGTGTCTTGTTGAGGACAGTCCACACTACTTGTGACAACTGTACTAACAGCCAAGAAACTGCTTATACAGGTGCGCGAGTTGGTGTTAGCTACTAAATAGACTTTATGAGTAATTAATATTAGATGTTAACAAGATTAATATTAAACTTCAACACCTATTTTTAGGGTTTAAAAAGTAAGATGTTTGAAGTAATTATTTTCTTAAAAACAAAGTAAGTTAATGCAATGTATTTGCTGGCTACATGCAGTAAAAAATTGCAAACTAAATGACATTTTCGGTTTAAGGGGAAAAACTAAATACTAGTGTCTTTTGAAAAAACATGTTTTCCGTAAACATTTCTTGCAATTATTAGAAGAAAACCTATAATCATACAATGGTCTAAAACTCTTCATATAAAGGCACCGTGATTTGATTGTAACCATTACAGGTGGGGTATTCTATCTACAAACCGGCGATCTCATTCAAGTGTGTGTGTCAGGTCAAGGACTTGTTGATTTTGGACCTGAACAAACATACCTCGGTCTTTTTCTACTGCAATCTTAGGTTGGTAAATAACGACACAAAAAATCGCTAACAATAAATCAATCTAGATATAGTACATTTTCAAGATTTTACCACCAAAACCTCCCTCCACTCCTCACCCCTCCCCCAATTTTACGATAATTAGCTAGATACTGATTATAAACTTTTATATAACAATTTACTGCATGTTGAGACTAGTGGTTTTGTATAAACAAACAACTAAGCAGTGATTGTTATACAGTAACTAAAACACACTCTTGTGTAGGGAAAAAAACTACATAGGTTGTAGTATGAAAAATAGGCAATTCTTTAAACGACTTCCATGTCGTATTCTCTCATTTAAATTGTCGAATCGGGGTGCCGATAAAACTAATTAAAATAGTTTTTTTTACCAAGCAATTTAAAACTAAAAAAATTTCTCTTAAGTATTATTAAAAGCCTCTTGACGAATAACTAAATTACGAGATTCAACATATTCCAAATTAATAGTATAAATGCTAAGAAAAATAATAATACAAAAAAAAAAACACGCGGGAAACTATTACACAATATCGAGTTTTCTTGATCCATAGTCTTTGACCGACTTTTCAAGTAAGAAGGAACACTATTCATTTTTTTCGTTGGGCGTAAATGAGAAATTTTAAAACTTGATTATTCCAAGCCAGAAATGAGTTCAAGCCTATCTCTGTGTGGTTTTTTGTCTCATTTAATTTATAGTTTAGTGAGACAGTCTTCTACTATATATATATATATATATATATATATATATATATATATATATATATATATATATATATATATATATATATATATCATAAGGGGTCTCGAAAAAAAAATTTCGCGGAGGGAGGGGGTTAATACGTTTCGCTTAGAGCGCTAAATTTGTGTCCTTTTCGTCCGATGTCAGAAAAAAAAAAACTAAAGCACAAAATTTCAAAAATCAAATCCAGAACGAGATTCCAACTTGTGTTATCTGAGTAGTAACATAGCGCTCTAAACCCCGCATTTTAATTGTATGTAATACTTGTTTAAATATTTGTACAGGCTAAATGCAGTTTGCAAGTCTTTGATAAATTTAATATTTAAATCCGAAAATTGGTAAAATACATTATTAGTATGTATGTTGGAGTAAAAATACAATGTGATAAGTGTTATGCAAACATGGCAATTAAGCAATTAAACTAAAATCTGATAAGCTTAGAATCACCTAAATTATATTCTTCTAAGCTCACACTTCAGAGAGTTTTGAAAAAATATGTCTTGAAAATTAAACATTGATCTAATTTACCTCAATCAAAATAATCAAATGCCTTTGTTTTTAAGTTTTAGTGGACAATTGTAAGTAACAGCTAGTGGATTTCGCAATATCTTTATCGAAGTTAAGCATGTAATTTTATAAATTTAGATGCATTTGTTGTTTGTGGTCTGGGTTAAGTCTTTCTTTCAAATATAAATCCTACGTAAGAAATTTAAAAGTTGAAAATTTCAGTTAATGACAATCAATACCATGTATATCAAAATATCAAATAAATAATACGCTGATTACCATAGGTGCTTTGTTTAGAGCCAAAAAAACATATCCACAGTGTTTATTATTATTTTTTTTGTGGTAGACATTTTATGTAGACTTTTCACTATTTAGTGACATGAAATAATAATATATTTTAAGTTACTATTTGTTTCATAAACTTGAGAAAGTTTTATGTACAGATGTAAAAATAACCCTACAAATGTTTATTTGTTTAAATTCTTCATTAGTGCAATTATTAAGCCCTAGTTTCTACTTTATATTAATAATGTATATTCATATCTACAGTATCAAAAACAATGAAAACCCAAAACAAAGCGAGAAAAAGAAATTTGGAGCCACCAGGTACGCCTGAAGGTAGAGCCAAATAAATGATTTATTGACCAAATGTTTAGCTCATTTAGCTTATTTAAAATCTATTATGGTATTTTAAAATTCAAATACTTTAAAGATCCACACCTTAATGACATTGTTATCTCTAAGTGTAAAATGTAATATTAAATACCTAATTAATTCTATAAAAATGTACTTTATTTTATCTGACTATGAGCTTTGAGAGTGTATCAGTTAAGCCATAATAGTTTATCTCAGTAATGACACAATTCTTGTCACTATAATTATAAGTTAATGTATGTGTTTTCTTTTTCTTTTATTTTAGAAATGCCATACTGTGAGAGTCTAAGTAAAGTTATCAAAAGTGACCAAACAGATGTCTTTAATTCAGTTGAGAAATATGACACACATAAAGCAACAGGTTGAAGCTACTATAAATATGTGCTAGTGAAAACATATAGATGACTTTATTATCGTAAATTCATACTTGATTATATGAAGAAAATTGTATCATTTTAAAGGGTATCTGAAAATCATTGTTTAGCTATTTTAGACTGTTTAAATATTCTGTTCCCCTATTCCTGTAGGCAATCATGAAGCTGAGATGTGCTATGGAGGAGAAGCTGATCTACACAAACATGTTAATGGCTGTAAGAAGAATCCAGGTCACAAAGGTTTTATACCTCTTAAAGATTTCAACGCAAGTTGTCTCCCCTCACGTTTCCATGACGACGACCTCATGTCTGAGACAATCAAAACACTGGCAGCCCTAACTGTGCAGGTAAAGACTAAATTCACCAGTCTAGAGAGACCAGAGTTTTACCCAGGCACTCAAGTTCCATACCCATGTTATAATGACAGAGGACGTCACGTGATGAGGTTAGGGACAGGAAGGGTGTGGTGTGTGTACAAGTACACAGAGATTGACGGAACTTGTCATTGTGCCAATTGTCAAGTCTCTGCAACACCCAGCAAGGTGTGGGGGCAGGTTCTTGTGTTGACAGCCACACACGTGGTATTTGATGACAGTGAGGCGAGACAGACCAGGTGTGTTTTAGGTTTTTTTGACAATAAAAGTCCAGTGGTCAGTCTTGATGGCTGGGAGGTGTGGCGTAAGGCAAACATTGAGGGAGACTGGTGTAGGTTGACATATTCGACATTTGACTTAGAGTTGGTTGATGAACTGGACAAGATGTGCCAGTACTTTGATGACTTATGTGGGGAAGTAGAGGACAAATACAGGAGATTTTATGTTGTGGACAAGTTGACCGTTATAGTGTCACATCCTCATGGCTGTCCTAAACAGGTCTATGTAGGACAATGGACACACAAACATGAGAGGGATGATGACGATGATGATGATGAAACTTTGGCCAGGTACTGGTACACAACATGTACATGTCCAGGCTCCAGTGGAGCGTCTATCTACAGGCTGGGACATGTCGGGTGGCCGTACCACCATCCCCACAGTGGAACAAACTCTGAAGGAAATTATTGTGGGGAGATGTGGGACTGATTTAACTGTTAGTTACAGTACATTTTCAAGCTATTGAATGCATTTAATATTGATCAAAGTAATAACAAGCTGAAATGATAAATATATACTTGTGTATACATGTTTTTTATTTCATATGTTGAACCTAAATTGTAAGTTTATGATCCATGGAAAGAAACATTGAAAATGTTTTAAAATAATAGAATTCTATGATTATCGTTCTTTTAAAAGATTACTACATAAAACTAAGGTGACGACTAAGATTTTAAACTTTATAGTTAAAGATGACATAAACAAATAAAAACTACACTTACCTTTAATTTGATACCAATTTTAATTATCAAATTTAATCGGTAGCTTAGAAAATGATTTGTAATTAACGGCGTTTGTTTTTAAATGGTATGATATGACTGAAATTCAGTGATACGGTGGGTTCGTTTTTACAAGCTTTTACAACACTCACTTCCTGTCTGTCTAGATCGAAACGCCGGAGTGAAAATTCTGACACTTCTAACTGACATATACGGTTCGTAATTGGTACGTGGATCAAGACATGAAGACAATGCGTTATGACATTAAATTAGACTTAATTGGAAGCCTAATTATATTTTAATGAATTAATTAAAAATTTGACCGAATTATTAGGCAGTTCTATCCACACGCGTCATCACGGCCGTGTGGGGCATGGAGCGAAGGGGGCTCTATGTCAAAAGCGCGACATCACGTTCATTAGGCGCGCGATGGTTTTTAGTCGGGTCAGCAGTCTAGTTCTGTACCACTAGACTACGCCATCCCATAATATTTTACTCAAACTTAAGCTATACACTTGACAAAGGTTTTTAGTCATGTAACTATTGTAAATAAAACATGTAAAGTACTGAAAAAAATTCATTAAAAAAACGTTTTAATAACAAGCGTTTATGTAATAATGCTCTAAAAGTAAACAAGTTAATTAAAAAGTCTAGTGACATTTAAGCGCAATTTCCTTATGTTATCTAAAAATAGCTCTGTCGTAGCGTAAATCAAGAGCAGGGTTAGTAAAACCATTGGTTAGTTATTAAAACGTTTTTTATTAATTTTTTTTTCCAGTATTTTACATGTTTTATTTACAATAGAGTTACATGACTAAAAACCATTGCGCGCCTACTGAATGTGATGACGCAGCCATTGAACGTGATGGCGCAGCTATTGAACGTGATGACGCGTGTGGTGTGGTTAGATAAATATGCTTACTAATTCGGTCCAAATTTTAATTAATTCAAAAAAATTGTTGTGACCGAACGAAAGGATATTTTTGAAAACTTTCTTCGGCAATATTGTTCTAAATTATGTCAGGAGTCGATTAGTACATGTTTGAAGTCGCTAAGTTGTCTGGTTTCCGAGATATTTCCGGGAAATCCATGAAAGAAACCCTTAATTTTTATGGCCTATGTTCATCCTCGTAACTTGCTTAACATAATTGCTTTTGGAACTAGTCATCGATATTGCTTCGTTGAGGGGGAGATACGACTTAAAGCTGCGGACACACATACATCCATCCATCCATCCATCCATTCATTCATACATTCATACATCCAGAAATGACGGGTTAATAAACGCAATTCTCCAGAATGGAAATTGCGCTAAAAATAAATTATACACTACTATTTAAATAACTATAAAGAAAAGCGTGGGTCTCTTCCTAAATATTAGTAAAGGTATCCAATAGATACTAAAGTGACCCACGCTTTTCTTTATAGTAATTTAAATAGTAGTGTCTAATATTTAGGAAGAGACCCACATTTTTCTTTATAGTTATTTAAATAGTAGTGTATATTTTCTACTTTTTAGTGCATTATTACAAAAAAGCTTGTTCAAGGAGTATTGTTGTGAGGCGAGTGACCGTTCACCACCGTTCAACTAGATTTCTTCCCATTCAAATACACGGGCAAGGTGGGTAGGCTTAGTTAGCTGTTGTCTCGATCAAGTTATTTTTTGAATGTTTTGTCCTGCATGTGTTTTAAAAATTAATGAAATCATTTTAGTAGCACGCAATATATAATTTTCTAAAGTTTACAATAGTTTGAGTAAGTTTACAAAAATGTTAAATAAAGCAACTCCCGTTTTACTTACCTTTATTACGTTCTGCTCGCTATTCTCAGCGATTAGACAAAAGAAAATGCACAAATGGCAAGCTAGCATCAAACTTCAAATCGTTTATTGATAACATTAGATCGGTATTGTTGAATAAAAAGCAGAAATAAAGATTATTAGTATATATTTCTGAAATGACCATCAAACATTCTTAAAAAAAACGGAATCACGGTATCGTCGTTTTCGGCAGCCATTATTACCATGACGATGAAAAAAAGTAGGTCAAACGACAACCTACATAAAACAGCATTGTATATACTGAACGATTTTTTGACGCAAACGTCTTATTATGCAGTTGTTTATCAATTTTTTTATTCTTCTATCTCTCTAATTAAAACCGTTCTATATTGTTCTAACTATATTTCACCTACACCGCTTTGTAGACAGAAGCGGTTTACGCTTCACATATTTAAATTGAATGAACAATGTAGAAAGCATTACACTAAAATTGTATAATTATGTTATTTTATAAATATTGTATTAGCAAGATAAATCAATTTGGTATTTTAGAAAAACGATTTTCTCAATTTTTCTGTTTATCAGTTGGATCTTTAGCGTAAACAAATTAATGTGTAAGATAATGAAACAGCTGTTACATGTTTATCTCAAATGACACGTTCGAAAATTTTATCAATTAGCAAAAAAATGTCCCTGATGTTATAAATAGAAGGGATTCATATTCAGAGTGAAATATAAGGTAATTCTAAATTACACATTTAAAAATGCTTCTCATATGGATCGTTTAGTTACGTATGTTTTCGAGCTTCTTGTATATTTAGTCTTCTATTTAGAATTATTTTTTTTTTAGAACACTGACTGTTTTAACACAAATAATACACTAAACAAAAGGGAAGCTGCTCTATGGGTTTATACAAAAATAATTAAAAATCTTTTTATTTTTTTGCAAACTATTTAACAGTAGACGAACCTATCTAACCCAGGATAATCTACTGTATATATATTTTCTTCTCCTCGATTATACCTTACTTGAAATACAGACATTATCAGAATTATCTTCACTGTTGTGATACAATGGTACGTGTAGGTTAACTAGGTCGTAGTTTATATAAGCCATTGGCCAGTCAGAAAGACCTAATCAGCTATGAGACGAACAGTCGTAACCAATAATTGCTAAAGACAAAAACCTGTGTTGACACTTTGTAGGTCAGTTAGCGTCCAATACGCACATCAGACATTGTTTTTCGATTAGTCATAAAACAATGTTAATACATTAAGTGCAGGTAAGTTGTAGAGGTAAAATACAAACATTAGTGCATTTTAAATCGTGTTAAATCTTTCTATACTCAAGAATGGAAGATATTAACCTTTATTATATTATAGGGACATTCATAATATATTGAATAACACTGGTTATATTATATGATATCTTCTTAACTTCCGTATAGTTTTGTTTATTTTTGGCCATTTTGTTGGTGTAAACACCGCATGGAAAAATTTTCATGTTGAAAATGAAGTAAAAATGAAAATATTTTACATGAAATAGAATCTGATGGTGGTCTTTCTTCTTAATATAATTTAGAGCCATAATTTGTGCTTTAAACATTATAGCAAACATGAATAAAAACAATAACAAAAGAGATGCTATGGTATCAGCACCAATGAACGCGTCAAATCGTGTCGTTTAAACCTTACAGAAAGAGTCTTCAAGTGACTATTGATACAATAGTGCCAAGCTGGGTAGCCTAAAAGG